ATCCTAATATGCTGTCCCTAATCCAGTCACATAGGGGAAAGAGGTCCATGGAGGCATCTAAAAGAGGGCTGGGATGAGAGGAAGAAATAGATTCTTCTTTCCTTTGATCGCACGTATCCGGGACCTCCCGCTTCAATCTGTTGGTTCTTTTAAGAATATGTTTGCTCACCCCCCTCCAAAATTTTTTAAAAAAAAATCAAATCCGGACGCGGGGGTAGGGGTGACCGAATGAGATGGAAATATACAAATCAATATAGACAAATGTCAAGACTTTTTAAAATGACATTTTCATTAACTCCAAGTCACTGTATTATGTCTGGTATATTGAATAAGGTACTTATAATATAATTAGGTATAGCGAGATGACGACTGTTACCCAGACCAGCTGCATAATCTTTAACTACTTAACTACTTGATAGACTCATTAATGGACTAATTGATTAGGAAAAGTGTTCCAAGTCCTCTCCCTGCGAGGGGCAGGTGCTGTCCTGTTTTACCACATTAACCTTTTCAGGGCTTTTCAACAGGGTCGAGACACATTACAAATGGTCAGCTTTAATCATGATGTCAGCTCATTAACCCGGAAAGACCCCGCACTGAAATACGATTTAAGAAATCGTCCTTCATTCAGTTCTGCAACCCAGGCCCCAGCACAGCCCGGCCAAACGCTACCCAGAGAGAAATGGCAACTTTCCCCCATGCCAGCGCGCCCGCTCTCCAGCAGGTCGTGCAACCAAGGTGGGCGCGTTGGCCGGTGACAAGCCCCAAAGCCGGTCAGTTCTCACACCGCAGTGTCAGGCAGGAAGGGAAAGAACCCAGCGTGGGTACCGAGGGAATTTGTACTTCTGAAATGTCCCGGGGGCCTGTGAGCAAAGCAGGGAGCGTCCGAATGAGGAGCGCATGGTGAAAACGAGTCTTTAGACGCATCCTGACATGGTTTCCTCGCCCCCCCGCAGAGAAAGCAGGGAAGGGCTGGGGCAGGCCAGAGATGAAAGCAGACGGTGGGGCTGGGGAAGGGGACACACGCATTCTGGGCAGCCCCTTTCGAAAGGCAAAGAAAAGGCCGTGAAGTCTATAGATCAGCGGGAAGAGTTGGGGGGGGAAGAGAGGAGAGTAAAAAGGGCCTCCCCAGGGCGCTCAGTTACCATCAGTCAGAGCCTAGCTCTCGCATCCTGCTGGGTAGCAAGTGTCCTAAGCCATTGCTTGGGTCTGCCGGGCTAGGGCGGGACCCGGCTACTCGCCCTCCCCTACTGCGAGCAGCCAAGCTCCTCGACGAGACAGCAAGACAAGGGAGGGGGGGGGAAGAGAGGAGAGTAAAAAGGGCCTCCCCAGGGCGCTCAGTTACCATCAGTCAGAGCCTAGCTCTCGCATCCTGCTGGGTAGCAAGTGTCCTAAGCCATTGCTTGGGTCTGCCGGGCTAGGGCGGGACCCGGCTACTCGCCCTCCCCTACTGCGAGCAGCCAAGCTCCTCGACGAGACAGCAAGACAAGGGAGTTCCCCGCGCCATGTGGCAGAAAGAGCTGCCCAGTTCCGCCGCGCCTGTGCCTTGCGGAGCCACTGGCTGTGCTGCTGAGAAGTCTCCTTGCCTCACGCAGGACCGAGATGTAACCAATACACTCTCCATCCGCAGTTACGAA